AATTAAGATAAAATTTTGAATATATATATATATATATATATATATATATATATATATTTAAATTTTATAAAAAAATAATTGAACTTTCTTATAAATATAATTTAAAAAAATCTCTGAAGCTGTCACAAGACTGAATCTGGTGTTCACAGCTGCATTCCCATGCACGATACCGCGGGTGGTCGTCTTCGACGACTGCGTTAAAAGCGCACGTCGTGCAGCCGAAGGGAGAGAAAGAGAAAGAAAGACGAAAAAAACGGGGATTGCAATAAGTAATTCTCTGTAACTATAAATAAAGGGCGATACGTCCTGGACAGCTTCGTTCGCCCGTAAATCTCGAATCGGGGCATAATTACCGAAGCAACCTGGAACCTGCCGCGGATCAAGGCGGATCTTCTCGCGTATCCGGGTTTTACCGGATCTTCCTGATAGGTCTCAACCTCACGGACGACGATAAGGTAGAATCTATTCATTCTCATTGGTAATCTAGGATTCTGTTATAAATCAGGCCTTGAAGTCGATGCAAGCCTCTTTTGCGCCGGCAAAATTAGTTGCTTCGCAATACATGCTAAGATAATTTTGTATACATATATATATAATTATTTGTTACAGCATTTTGTGCATTAAAATATTTTTACCTGTTTTTCATCCTTGATACCATAATTCGTGTAACCAGAACTAAAGTGACATTTATTTTAAAAAATTTTGTTTTACAAAAACATAATTTCAAAATGCACAAAATGTTATAGCGATATCTAAAAAATACAATTTATTATACTGACACTTGTTTGTAGAAGCAAGACAATATATACGATATTTATTTTCGCTTCGTTAATCACAGAGTGATACATTGTAATATATCCACAGTTCAATACGAAATTATTTGTTATTATTTAAGAAATGCACTAAAAAATCTTAGACTACAATTTTCCCTTGATTGTTCGGATAAAATCGAAACAGTGTCATTGCGTAAACATGTCATTAAAAGATTGCAATTATATGTTCAAAGTGCCAATATGCAATTCGTGATGTATCATGTACATCTACGTTT